ACAATCATCTGGCTTTGCGACTCCCCGTCCAATAGCAACTTGACCTCAGACTTTTGGTTGATCTTTGTAGAAGAGTAGCAGGTAAATCAAACAACACTCCTCGAATGCTCCAACCTTTTCAAAGTGTGAATGTTTTTACTTTTGTTCTTCAATCGTTTGAATTCAATGTAGAAGTAGATCTGTTTTTGTTTGATCAATGTAGATGCAACTGTATGATCGCGATCAGGATTCGAACAACACAACTCTAAACACACTAAGTGTTTGTATATGTTCTAGAAAGACAAATAGAAAATTTTCTAAGAATTTTTAAGACAAAAATCTTCCTAAGGCTTTTTAAAAATAATAAACTGATAATGCAAAAGTCGTAAATAAACTTATGTGTATGAAAAGGTTTATATAGAGTTTAGGATGTCATAGTCCCTCTTAAAATATGAAAAAAAAATTCATGTATAGGACTTGGTACAATTCTAGACCAACTAGGAAACAATTCTGAAACAGGAAACTGAAAGTTGGAAACTGATTAAGACTACTTGAACCGGTTCAGAGGGGCTGAACCGGTTCAAGATTGGCAGAGTTTATTTGAAGCCAATCTTGAGCATCTTGAACCAGTTCAGAGGGGCTGAACTAGTTCAAGTTTGGTAGACTTGAATAACTTGGTTCATTCAGCCTAAAATCATTCTACGATAAGTTCTGAAAATTATGGAAAGTGTAGAATGTGTCCAACCCTGTTTAGAATAATTCCTAATGTGTTGTTCTTACCTTTTTCTTCAAATGATCTCAATTGTGGTCACTTTGAACGACCTCTCCAATTCCGTAGTCACCGTCGATCTTGATAACTTGCAGAACTAGTAACTGGAATTACAACTCGACATGAACTTGTTTTGTTTACGATAATTGTCAAATAAAATAATATCTCACATGGTGTTCTTTGGAAGCCTCGGTGAGGAGAATTGTGCGTAGGCGTCACATGGAGGGGTAGACTCAATGGATACGTGCGGCGGTGGTATTCTCGGGTCGCCGGAGATGGATCTTTCTGAACGATCCTTTATGGCGCTTCTATTTATGGGGTGATTTGTTATGGGGTGTAACGACCCACTCCACCACATGGTATAATATTGTCCGCTTTGGGCCTGAGCCCTCATGGTTTTGCTCTTGGGCTTCACCCCAAAAGGCCTCATACCAATTGGAGGTGACACACTTACATATAAGCACTTCACCTTTCCTCTACCCAGGCGATGTGGGACTGTGCACCCGTAGCTCTCCAGTGTGGTAGCCTGACAGTGTCTCTCGCACCTGCCCACAAGGTCATCACAATTCACCCCCCTTGGAGGCCCGACGTCTTCGTCGGCACACTTCCGGCTGGGTCAGGCTCTGATACCATTTGTAACGACCCACTCCACCACATGGTATGAGGCCTTTTGGGGTGAAACCCAAGAGCAAAACTGTGCGGACAATATCATACCATGTGATGGAGTGGTTCGTTACATGGGGGGTGGAGCTGAAGAATCTGAGCACCTTGCCGGCATCAGACGTCTATGGTGCTTGTGCGGTTGTGTTCGGCGGTTTCTCGATGGGTCGGCTTTGGAAGTTAGCTCTTGGGTTTTCGGTTGGTGAAGCTTTGTCATCATGGCCGATGTACGGAAGTGATATTTTCAAAATGCTATTTTGGTTGTGGGTGGGCCAGGTCATTGTCTATGCCAGGAATATGTGTAAAGCGGTGCAGATTTATATATTTAGAGGTTATATTTTTTTCTGCTTTTCAGTTTAATCATTTCATTAGCTTTATAATGTGTTTGACTAAAGGTGAGTGGCGTAGTGACTACGCTTCTTATCTTGAAGTCATGGGCCGCCTTTTTATATTTACTGTTATTAATCTTTGTGGGTCACTACCTTTCTGTTCATGGTTTCTTCCAATTGTTACTTACATTTTTTTTTTCTTTTTGAGATCCTATTGTGTTAAGTTTTCTTTTGTTTCTTGTTGGGTCAGGAGACATCAATGGTGGGTTATTGTGATCTTCTTGTTTCGTGGCATGACTCTAACCTAGACAAAGAAAGAGCCAATCGCGTTGTCGGTGGAAGATACAGCTCAGAGTGAACAGCTGTGTTGCTCTAGATTATTTGGTAAGGCATGGGCCTCTATCACATCGACTTTGGTAGGGGCTAAGTTTAAAACAATAACTTGGAAAGTCTGGTGCTCATCTTGGGGATGCATTTCATTCAGAACCATCTCAGTCCTTGCCACTTAGTTTGCTTTGCTTGTGGGAGCTATCACTCCCATTATTGCTAACACGTTTTAGATGTAGGTTATTGTCAAGGTTGTTATCTTGATATTTGTGGGTGTTAGTTGTGGATGTTTTGTGTCTTGTGGTGCTGCATGTGCTTGTTTTGACATTAGTTAATTGTTCTTGCATCTGTAGATGCCATATGGCCGTTTTCTTGCCAGGTTTAAAATAAAAAAAAATTTAAAAAAAAAAAAAATTCTATGATTCAATTTAATGAAAGTTATTTTGATAAGTGACTCAATTGGGTCCCAACTTATACATCAGCGTCTTACTACCACAAACTTGACATTTAATAAAGAACGGATTAGACATATGGATTAATTATTTTCTCCCTCGAAATTGTTTACAAAACTCTAGTAGTGGTTATTAATTGTAATTTTATATAGGAAAATTAAAGCTAATTCTTCCAAAATTTTTAAAGTTCATATTTATGATTGTCTATTTCTGGTTATTAAAGATAATTACCAAACAAAATTACTTTAGAAACCTTCAAATTTCAATAAATCATTTTAGTTTTGGGTTATAAAAATTTAAACCAAATAAAAAATTTGTGAATTATTATCATAATCTTTGCAACAATATATTATACACACACACACACACATATCATTTTATTTGTTTCTTAATCATTGCAAGACACACTAGCACATCCTTTTGCCCATATGGAACTTTGAAACATCGACCTCCTGTTTTGAAAGGTGAATAAGTACCACGTACTAGACTACAAATTTGTTATGAATTAAATTGAGTAAAGAGAGAAAAAAAATATAATCTTTTTTTTTATGGTACTTGACATTTTCTCTTTTCATATTATTATAGTCATGATCTTAAAAATAGACATTAAGAATACGGGACAAGAAAACTTACTCAAACATGAACTAGCTAATGGAGGGGAAAGACTTCCGTGCACTTTTAATACTTTGTTATTTGTGCAAGGGAAAGACTTCCCTGCACTTTTAATATTTTGTTATTTTTGCCATCAACTAATTATATCATGTCACATAAGTAAAAATACTTTATTTTAGTAAGTCATATCATTACGTGTCAATATTTAATAAACTGGCGATACCATGTCATCACTACAACCAGTACAATTAAAATTTTAAATTATTCAATTATTTGAGACTATTGATCTGACCAATCACTAATTGATACACAAGTAAATTTATGAATAAAGCTGACACAATTTAATAATTTCTCACAAATATTACTCAAACACATATTAGCGAAATTATTATATGATTCGAGATTATTGATCCCGACCGACCAATAATTGATACACAAATAATATTATAAAAATGCAGCATATCAATCACGTCACTTGTGGAAAAAAAAAAAAAAGAAAAGAAGAAAAAGAAAAAATCACACCACTCGGGTGTGGATTAGTAATTGGCCCTAACCATTGACGCCATCTAATAATTTCTCACAAAAGAGAACACTCCAATCTGTGTAAAGTAAAGCTTGTGAGATGCAAACAAGTGGGTGACATTATATATATATATATATATATAGCCACTAGCTACAGTCTTCAATTGGGTTTTCAATAGGCCCAACTTTAATTAGGCCATCTGTTTGAGATGGGTATAATAAAAATAACTGAAAATTTAAAATTGGGAGCGAATTTAGTGATGATCACGCATGATTATATATGTACCTTTTAATTTTTTTATATAAAATATATATTTTATATTTTTAAGACTTTTGTTATTTTGTTGGAAATGTCCGTTAGTATATTAAAATTCACTACTTAATAATTTATAAGTTAGACCATCTTATTTATCAGTCCAATTTGAACACTTTGAAGTATTTTTTTTATTTATTTTTATTACCTAATAACAGTGGCATAACCCAATCCATCCTGTCCCGCCTCGCAAGTAAACGAAGTACGTGAAATGGAGTCGGTATTTTGTCTATCAGAGTAGGGACGAAGATGGTATAATAATTATAAACCGCTTCCGAAATAGGAGTGAAGTTGGTATGATATATTTACTAACAGGCGGAGTAGGGTTTAGCCAACTCCTCCTGTTGCCATCCAATCCATGAACATTGTTGTTTCTTGCAGAGTATGATAAATCAATTTGGGAATTGAGCGAGGACAAGGAGTTTATGATGAATAGCAAGAAAGAAGAGTGACAACTGAGGGTGAATACTGAGAAAAAAAAAAAAAAACACTTTATTCTGATAAAGAATGAGGAGTGAGAAAATATATATATATATGACCCCATTTTTTTAAAACTTTTTCACAGCAAATTTTATATGATTTTGTCAAAAAAATTATTTTCTAAGAACATTTTTTAATAAATGCTATTAAATTTTTGTTGCTAGAGCCATCTTTTGTCCCCGTGTCAGCGTAGGTGGGGTGAAAGTGGGGATTAGCCATTGACTTACGCTCTCCAGTGTCACTGAGATTTTTTAACAAGAATATCCAGACACAGCTCCCAATAGGCATATTAGCTTGGCAGATTGAAGATACTATCTTCGAATAGAGCTCTTAATGAACTGTTTGTTTCGGATTTATTCGTACTCAGTTAGTCCATTTAGTTTAAGATTATCTGGTTGATGCCCTGGTTTATTTGTACGGTTAAGCAAACACATTGTGGTTTGGTGCTCTGCACTTTTTTTTTTTATATATTCCATTGATTTAAATAAATAATAAATCAAAATTTTGACTTACCCAAGGAAAAAAAAAATTGAATTAAATCATCCAAGAACACTATAAGCATCTCTAAGATACAGACCCATATTTATTGTTCGTGCTCCATATTCAACCATCCATGAACCACTTACACATATACACAATGATCCCATGTATTTGATCATATCTCACTCATTATTTCCTAACATTTCCCATTGTGTAGCTAGCTATCATATATAAAGGTTAGCAGGCAAACGTGGGGTGAGAAGGACCTCCAATGGGGTGGCTTTAATATTGGTTAGCCCAAAGCTCTCACTCATATTCACAGCTTCGTCGAAAGGAGTTCCAAATTCAAATCCATGAATCAAACTAGCCAGGGTGAATTGCATGACTTGGAGGCTCAAAGAAATTCCAGGACACATTCTTCGTCCACTGCCAAATGGTATCAACTCGAAATGCTGCCCCTTAACATCGACATCCTTGTGGCTCGTTAAGAATCTCTCTGGTCGAAACTCGTTTGGATCCAACCAGACATGAGGATCCCGGTGTACCTTCCATAGGTTCACCAATAGACGGGTGCCCTTCGGAATGTGGTAACCACCCACAATGCAGTCCTCCATGGACTCGTGTGGTACAGAAAGTGGTGCGGCTGGGTACAAACGCAATGTTTCTTTGAGGACGACTTGGAGGTAGACTAAGTTCTTCATATCGGTCTCATCCACTCGTCGTTCTCTTCCAATGTGAACATCGAGCTCGTCTTGAACCTTTTTAAGAACATGTCGATTGTTTAGGAGCAATGAGAGAGCCCATGTTAGGGTCACAGTTGTAGTATCAGTGGCTGCTGTTAGAATTGCCTGCATCATATGGTCATATATAGTTCAGAATTGACATGCATTGTGTCCCCTACATACACGTCGGATAAAACTGACTTTTACTCATGAACATGATCTTAAAAAATTATTTGCATGTCGATTCCTAAACGTTATACCTCATGAGTCATAAGATTCAAGTGACTTACAACTAATACCAAGGCGAAAAAAGAAATAAAATAAGTCACTGATCAATAATTAAACATATTAAATAATATGATCGGTTTTAAAATTGCGTTGGGACCATTTCCTTTCCTATTTTGAAAGCATATGTATGGTCAAATTTGTGTCCAAATACCGACCCCAAGAGTATCGAAATTTCACCTTTGAAAAAAAAAAAAAAAACAAAAGAGCATCGAAATTTCTCCGGGGAGCATCTATCTTTGTACAAAAAAACGAAAACAAGAATATCAAATCCATTGACCTGCAGGCCACCATATCTTGTAGTTGACCCGTAACCTTATTGTTTTACTTTATTCTTGAGAAAGACAAAAACTAGCTTGGAATATATATATATATATATATATATAATGAATATGTATGTACATATACTTAAATTTGACATGAGCCACCTACTTTTTCGGGTTCCATTTTTAAAGTTAGAAAAGTATTATGGCAAAAGAAAGAATATTCAACAAACATAAGAAAGGAGAAAAAAAAGGCAATTAAAAATTACATAAGTTCTGAGAAATCTGTATGTGATGTGTTACTATGTGCAATTAATTGTGAAAAATTAAGCATGGATAGAGTTGGAAGGAGGAAAAAAAAAAAAGATTTTGGTTATGCTTTAAAAACTTCAAAAATTATATTAGACAGCAATATTTTTAAGATAAATTAATTATGTTCAGGCATTTGAAAATGAATTCCTTTAATTAATTAATTCCTTTAATCTGCTCTAATCCAACTTAATCAAATGAATTCGAGCGTGTTCAAATTTAGTGAATACAAATTAAAATTAACTAAATCACTAAATCTAGCAATATATATACCATGTAAATAAAAATTAACTTGGTTGTAGAACGTGTACCAGGCATGTAGCTTTATTGATTGTATCAGCGTCAAAACCGGGAAGTTCTTCAGCCCCGGTATGGTCAAGAATGGACAGCATCACATCCATGAAGTCTTGCTGAACACTCTTTACTATCCCAAAATCTCTCTTTCTTTTATGCTCCTCTAACCAACCTTCAGCTATATTATCCATTTCTTTTGCTGTCTTCTTCATGGCCTTCACGTACCCTCCCAAATCCAAACACCTCAGAAAAGGAATCGCATCAGACACCACAAACGCCCCCAGCAATTCAAAGAACTCTCTGATGACCTTTCCAAATCGTTCTCCCTCTTCCTCGTCACGCGAATATCGCTTTCCTGCAAGAATCCTAACCATCATATTTAGGGTTAAATCTCCGAACCATTGCTTCATCTCCAACTTGACCACATTTGTATCAGTTCTTTTCTGAACCCATAAGTCATATGCCTCTCTTATGGCTGTTCTTACCTCTGAGACTCGGACATGTCCTAGCATGTCAAGCCGGCGGTTGGAGAGAATCTCAAGCGTGACTATCTTTCGGACTTGGCGCCAGTAATGGCCGTAAGGACCCAAACCAAACATGGCATAGTTGTAGCCCAAGAGCTCCACTGCTAGAGACTTTGGACGGGTGGCGAAGACCTTGTCGTTGGTGGTGAAACATTCTTTAGCTATCTCCCAATCACTCACCACTAGTGCTTGGTTTAGCCCGAGCTTTATGGTGAAGATTGGCCCGTACTTGTCAGCCATAGAACCTAAGGCTTTGTGTGGCAATTGAGAGGCTCCTAAGAGATGGAGGTGACCCATCAGAGGCCATGCACCCGCAGCTTCTGGTGGAGCTCTGATCCGTCTAGTGTTTCTCTTTGTAAACTTTTTTGATATGGAAAACACATAGTACATAAGGAGTAGAAAGGCAAAGATGCTAACCATTTTAGTTGCTGTGAGTGAAAGAGGAAACTCCATGGATTCAAGTTTTGAGTGGGGACAATCAATGAACGGGGACCGACTTTATAGAAAGTCACAAAAATAATATTTATCATATTTGGCTTCACATAGTGCGGGAGAACCTACACTAAAACACATAAAAAAAAAAAAAAAACATTAATAAAATGAAAAGTGTTCATTTAGAATTTTATCAGCTATTGTTATTTTATATTAAGTTGTTTCAAAATTATTATCCTAATTCAAAAATTAATTTAGCTTTGTATTACTATATTTTAAAATAACATGTTCAAGCGACAATATTACCTTCGTGGTGAAGACCCGTACGCGTGTTCATTCATTGTTCACCATTACTTGCCACGTGTTTGTTTGGAATAATCAAGGTTTCGTCATTGATTAGCTTCGGTACATCTCCCGATAGGAAAATTTTTGGTGACCGAAAGAGGAAGGGAAAGGGACTGGTGAAGTTATAATTGTTTTGTGGTAGACGTTTGTTGACATTGTTTTTAAAAAATAATTACAATACAGAAAAGGACAAGACCAAACCCATTCTATGATTCATAATTGTTCAATGGAAAGTGCTTAGTTTAGTGACGAAAGCAACGTATGGCAATGGAAAGTGCTTGTTCAGTGACGAAAGCAACGTATGCCAAGGGCAGTGTGACGCCCAAATCTCGTGATCTGATATACTATCAATTAAGAGGGCGCAAATAACCTTGTGCAATTTTTATGTTGTTTTTTAAAAATCTTGATTTGGTCACGTTTTATTCCATTTAATAAATACTAACACTCTGTTTCGTAATTGAACCACTATTTATAAGTAACATTTCACCACCATTTTTAAATAATGTCACAAAAGTTTAAAAGTAATATTACATAATGTAAAAAGTAACATCACCACCATTTATAAGTAACGTCACATAGTTTAAAAAGTAACACCACCACTTTTTAAGGGTGAAAGATACTTATAAATGGTGGTGATGTTACTTTTTAGACTATTTTTATATTTCACCACTATTTATAAATAACATCACAGAGTCTAAAAAGTAACATCACCATTTGTAAAAGGAAACATCACCACTTTTAATTTCAAATAATAACATAAATGATATGTTAAATTGAGTTATACTTATATGTAACATTACTTTTTAGACTATGTGATATTATTTATAAATGGTGGTGAAATGATACTTATAAATAGTGGTGTAATTAGCCAAATACGACCTTAGTGTCCGTTAGTTGAAGAATGATGTGGCCAAATATGGATCACTTAAAAGTTACAGCAGGAAACTGCATGGGAGCCTCATTGCAGGTGATTCGTGTCCCAATTAAGAAGACCCAAACTCAATCTGGTATGGAGTCTGAATTACAAAAATTAAGGTCAAAACAAATATAATGTGAAACTAAGGTAACATGAACCTTTCATGAGAACTATAGTGAACGAGATGTGTACCATTGGATAACCAGCTCAAAACAATAAATTTAAGTAAAAAAATGACCTAAATCAGACCTAAAACGAAGAAAATATGGCTAAGAAAAGTAAATAGTTCAAAACCTAAGAAAAAAATATAGACTCAGTGCCTCTATCGACCGATCGCACCAATGTGCGAACGATACACCCAATATGCTATCGGTCGCATACCCAAAATACCAAAAAGTGGCTGTTTGTTGACTGATCACACTCCCCTTAAGCTCAAAATACCTCTATGTCAACTAATCGCACCCAAATTTGTTCTAGATCAGAAGCGAAATTGAAGAGTTGTTTGTGTTCGGTAGCTTGAAGATTTCGACAAGGGTAAGAAAAACACTTTAAGAATTGAGTTAGAAGTCAAGGACACTTATTTGCATTGCATGTTTTCAAAATAAGCGCTGCCAAAATTTTTCTAAGTGTAAAAATCTTCATGTTCAAGTCTGACCAAGTTAAACCGGTTCAAGAGCAATTGAACCGGTTCAAGTATTTCAGCTTCTTTTTTATAAAAATACATTGGCCAACTTGAACTTGTTTAAAGCACCTGAACCGGTTCAAGTTCTACAGCAGATTTTGGTAACTTTGTTTCCTACTCTATTTCAACTTCCTATTCTATATAGACTTTCTCCAAAAACTTTATGCACAAAATTGACTTATTTTAAAAGTTCAATTAGGGTTCAAAATTCGTTGGTTGTGAAACATTCTTTAGCTATCTCCCAATCACTCACCACTAGTGCTTGGTTTAGCCCCAGCTTTATGTTGAAGATTAGCCCAAGCTTGTCAGCCACAAAACCTAAGGCTTTGTGTGGCAATTGAGAGGCTCCTAAGAGATGGAGGTGACCCATCAGAGGCCACGCACCCGCAGCTTTTGGTGCAGCTCTGTTTTTTCTAGTGTTTCTCATAGTAAACTTTTTTTATGTGGAAAACACATAGTAGTACATAGGAGTAGAAAGGTGTAGGGGTTCTTTTTCGATCAAACAACAAACAAGTATACAACAGTGATATCAAAAATACAAATACGAAGGAAACAGAGGAGGTATTCGGTGTAAAAGGAGGAGAAGAAGACTAATTGCCAAGATTAAGATGGTGGTAGGGCAGGAACACAGTCTCTTATGATAGCTTTCCCTTTCTGGTTGTTTATTCTTTCATAGGACAATATTATTTATAGGCCCGGATTCCATTCGTTATTATCCAATGGTCTCTTTTGTGCATGGTTCCTCGCATGCATTACTCCCAATCAGGATTACGTGGGTAATCTTGGAGGTTTAGAAGTCTGAAGAGTCTAATCCTCTCATCGAGCCTTGCACTACGTTGCCATGTCACTTCTCCCTTAATCAAGGGCATTAAATATTGCTTGGCCGTCGGTTGGTCAAGCCTGACGCAACATTAAATGCGATTTTAAGGTTTGCTGTCATAATGTGTATAATCACATCATCTTGTTAATTGGGCCTTACTAGGAGCGAAGGCATCCTTGACTTTTCATCCACCAATCCAAGATCCTTCTAAGTTTTCCAAACATAGATTCCTTATAGCTGTGAAGACCCTACCTTCGTTTCGTGCTGTATATAAATCTTCGATGGCGAGCTTTCTAGGGCTCCAACCTTTTAAAGTGATATTCCCTGGTGTAATACTAAGGTTTGAGGTGCTTGAAGGTTAGTTCCTTGAGGCTGAATAGGTCTGGAGCGATGCTAGGGCTTAGGGTGCTCGAGAGTTGGTCCCTCGAGGCTTGATGGTCCTGGAACGATGCCAAGGCTTAGGGTGCTTGATCGGTTGATCAACTATACATCAACCTTTGCAATCGCACGAATCATTGTAAAATAGGGCTATTGGTCGGGTAAGTCGAACCACTGGGACTGCGCTAGTCTAATACAACCTAAATGTCTAGAATCATTCTTAGAATGATGAAGGGTTTATAGAGGTTTTGTTGGATGTCACTTAAGTTAGGAAATTAAAAGTGCATAAAACAATAAATTGTAAGAATTCAAGGGAGTGAAGTACAAGTAAAGAAGGCTAGGGAAATGAATCCACCTCCATCCCTATACACATGCTAGGTTAAGATTAATTTAAGGGAAAAACAACATATATGATAGTCATGATACATAACAATACTAGGTTGCTATAATATCCTCAAGAAGTTCATTTAAATAGAAAGACAAGAATAAACCATCAAAGGTTCACATGATCAACTACCTAAACTAAAATGTAGCTTAGAACATGCTTACTAAGTCAAGGATTATCAAGCCCTAATTTAAATGGTGAATGCACATAAAGCTAAGAATCAAGTATAGACCATCAAAGGGAAACCCTAAGCCATGAACTATCTAGGTTCTCCAACTCCATGCCATTAAAACCATTCCATGATCTAACTTCCATTGTCACCATGGAAGTGCAAGCAATATGATTAAGAAAAGTAACCATCTAAGACAAGATGAATAACTCACAATAATCATTTATAAACATTCAACATTCATTACAACAAAAATGAGGCTCTTGATCATGGAAAGACTATCAAAAATACATTGTAATCCCCAAAAATAAACTATACTAACACATGCTTACAAGGGAGGGGTTTCATCACCTCCCTAGATGAGGTTTAGTTGCCCATTGGTGAGCTAAAAGAAGGAAGAAGCATCATCCTCATCTCCATTTTCGTGCACCCTAACACCCTCTTTGCTGTCTTCTCTCTCCTCTAATCTTGTAAGAAATGAAGGATAAAGAAAATGTGTGGCTCTCCCCTCTTTATCTAGATAAGAAATCCACCCAAAAAGCTCTCTCTCTCCTCCAAGAAACATCCCCAACCAACTCATAAAGGAAAGCTTCCAAAGTAGGTAAAATCTGAGCACAAGTGGGCTGAGTCATGTAGAATTCTGCCCTAATTTCGAGTGCTCGAAATAGGGCCTCGAGCACTCGAAAATTGGGCAGAATGCCCTATTCTCCATTTGCTCCGCCCACTTTGATGAAATGGCCATAAATTTGCGCTCCGAATTCCGAATGACAAACTGTTTAAAGATTTGGAAAGCTAATTCAGAGCTTTAAATACTTTATGTTTTGGTGGAGATCCAATTCTCAAGAATGGTTGGTTGAAAATGAAGATCAAGGTAGAATTTCATTGCTGCCAGGCAGTTTTGCGCACCTCTGGTAAAAAGGCCATAACTCTCTGATCCGAGCTCCGAATGACAAACCGTTTGAAGATTTAGAAATCTAATTCAGAGCTCTAAATCTTTCATGTTATGAGGAAAGTCCAGTTCTCGAGTTTGGAAGGTCAAAATGGCGAACAAAGTCCAGGTTTCACTGCTGCCAGAAATTCAGCTTTTGAGCACATTGTTGATCAAAAATCCACAAGGGCTTATTTTTGCTCCCTTTTTGCAATTAAACCTGAAAATGCATAAAAACACACAAATGAGGATAATCTACAGAATTAAACAAACAACGGACTTAACTAATGCAATTTAGGGCGCTTGAATATACAGTATTCGGCGCTTATCAGTGCTCGAGGGTTGGTCCCTCGAGGCTTGATGGGCCTGGAACGATGCCAAGGTTTAGGGTGCTTGAAGGTTGGTCCCTCGAAGCTTGATGGGCTTAGAACGGTGCCAGGGTTCAGGGTGCTCGAAGATTGATCCTTCAAGGCTTGATGGGTCTGGAGCGATGCTAGGGCTTAGGGTGCTC